GAGAGAGAGAGAGATTACTCAAATGTATTAATTTTATAACAGATTACATACCAGCGCGCGAAGATATATTACTACTCGGCATACAGTGCCCAAATTTTATCCTCGAGACGGGGAAAGTATTGAATGTGTCACGTGTGCGGGAAAAAATATCGCAGCATTTACCTTTGTTCGATTACATATCGAACCACACAGGGATGAATATTCGACTACCGTCGGAAGTTGCTTTGTTGTATTCTGTTTTCGAAACGAAGGTAAGGAAAGGAAATTTAAATTGTTGATTTAATCTCGTTGAAGAATATCATAAGATATTATATATAATATATTATAGTGAAAAGTTGATATTATTGCAGGCCGATTTAAATCAATCGCTTCCATATTGGGCGCGGGATATCTTTCCCAATGGGGGAATGTATAACGTGTCGTTGCTCGAATACGATCTCCTTTGGGAAACTCCTTTACAGAAGAAATTAAATGGTGGGGCAATCGTGAGAGAGATCTTAGTGAATTCGTTGATGTATATGAGAGGGGACGTGTCGAGGAAACGAAAGCTCATGATGTACAGCGGGAACGAAAGAAACATCGTGAGCGTTTTGAAGAGCTTAAATTTGTGGTCACCGCATATTCCTAACGAGGCAGCATCCGTGATTTTTGAACTTTATTTTGACAACGAAACGGAAATTCATGGTGTAAAGGTGTGTAAGTTGAAATTAAAATTAATTAAAATTAACGAAACGATGATGAAATGGGATTGAAAATGAGATAAATAATCATCGTACGAATTAAAATATGTTAAAAGAATAATAATGGAAAATGTATGTGTTATCGTTTCAGATTAATTATTACACGGGAGTAGATGGTATCACCATTCCTTTGAAAATACCAAATTGCACCGAAATATGTCCAATTAGGACATTTTTATATTCGATAATAGATATTTTACCTGAGAACACGCAACGATTGTGTCATTGTGGAAAGATTGATCTTTCTGATCCGAGTGTGATAATCAACGATATCGTTTATAGTAGATCTGTTTCTCATACATTACAAAATATCATGCTTCTTATTTTATTAGTAATTACTTTGTTCGTATAATAATAAATTTGTATAAATGAATGTAATCTCATTGCAAATAATCGAATAATTCACACACGTGTGAGAAGACTAAAAAAAAAGGAAAAAAAAAAATACAAAAAAATAACAATTTGCACTCGTATTAAAAATATGTTTATATTTTTATATCATTTCTTTCTCACTCTCTCTCAGGTTAAATAATTTTTAATAATTGAAATCTCAATATTTTTAATAACAATTTATTTGATTATATTTAAAATTCGTATGTATAAAATACAAATTATTCATTAATTATTATTTAAATTATTAATAAATTATTTGTTGTTTATTAAATTATAATTTAAAAATTTCAATAAAAATTAGATAAAAAAACAATTACAATAAGTGTCGTTTTACTTAAAATTTATTTATCATATACAAAAAGTGATAAAATTGTATGAAGCAATATATAATCTTTTATATATACATTCCATAGTATATTAAAATTACATTTGAAATTATTTAATCATATAGTTAATAAATTAACTAATTTTCGTGATTTTTTAGCAAATTGAATAAAATTCTCTGTAGCAATTACTGCAAAGTCGTCCAAAATCATTAACCATCTTTTTTCTCTTGTTCGCTTGCTATCTTCCGCTATTACGCTTTCGAAATTCAATTGTTTTTTCCATAAATCAATTACAGATGGTATCATTTCTTCGTCAAATTGATCTCTTTCTTCGTTTCTAAAGACTAATCGATATTTCTGTAAACAACTAGTTAAAATATAAAATATAATATGCAATTGATTCATTATATTATGTACATCAGCTTTTTTACTATTTACGAGAGAAATTAAAATGTTTTCGTAAATTTTCAATTTCGTGGTTAGATAATTTATTATTTCGACACAAATTCTCATAGAAGTGCATAAATGTAAAATAATGGTGATCTGATAAGTCTGTATTGTAACCTAAATGGGAAG